CGCAATCTTGTAATAAAGTTCCTACATTCATTAAATGCAGACACATGAATTTGAATTTCAAACTACCTTCATAATATGTTACGAAATTGTGAAAACAATTTACCCATAAAGCTCCAGCTCTGTTTCCTACATATAAGAAATAGAGATCGTGTTCTTTCTTTATGATGTCGAAACTCTGTGTTTTTGTTATTTCCTGCACGGGAGGACCGCTTAATCTTAAAGCGAATTTCACTATTTCCTCTCTAGTTCTATCACCTTCGTACACATATTTCTGATCGCCCTTTAAACTGTAAGACGAAAACATTATTACATGCGAGCGTAATGTAACTAACTTGAAGAAAAGTCTGTATATTTACAATAAAATAGTAGGAAATCCTTTAATTTTGAACGTATTTGTTACACTGGCAAATCTAGTGCAATCCACTCGTCCCACTCGTATGGGCGTTGCGTGCAAGTGTTGAGCAACATGAGACCAGATCGGTTCCAATCTTTTGCAATGCGTACACCATGGTGCATACATCTGTAAAAAAAAAAACAAAAATAGTTGTGATACAAATGAGTGAGAAGAGCCATATTCGGACAAGTGAGTCTTGATGCTTAAGCATATTTTTATATGAATTTTTTACAGTTTCTAGTTCGAGCAAAACTGCGCACCGATTATTTATCGGTCTTGAGATACAAGTCAATGCAGTCCTAGACTGAGGCTGGAGTATGTAATATCAGATATTAAATTTATAGACAATTTAATATTACTGATGCTAATGAGCATCTTTAAAATACTCTAAACATTTTTTAAATAGTTAAATAGATATTTTCTAAAGAACGTAAAAGAGCATTAAACGTACCATAACTAGCCATTGTCCATCTTTGTGTATATCCAGAAATCTGCAAGAAATGCATTAAGTAATCATGCATGAACTTGGAGTAAAGTAGTAATGTCTCTTACCTATCACTCAGCTCAAATACACGCGACCCTGCCGTATGCGTCAGAATCGCTGAAAAAACTAAAATGTAATAATTAAACAACAAAAAGAGCTGGAGTAAAAATATTTCCTTCTGCACGTGCAATTACACAAAGATCATATCGACAGAATCAAATTGAATTTGTTTGTCAAGACATCACGAAGAACTTATTGAATTACGTCGTAAATACATATGCCATAAAAACAAAAATACAGTAATACAGTTCGTTACTTTACTATAGATAAGATCGCGCGAAACATTGCATGCTTAAGAATCCCAAGATGTGCCGATATCTTTTAAATTCTCTATACGCTGATACAATCCAATTACTTGGCATACAGAAGATTCGTGATAATCGAATCAAACGAACATCAAGCGAATCATCCGTTATTGATCGGCCAGTACACGAAATTACGGATATGGAAAATCATCGAGTCCAGATTGTGTAATGTATTGTTTCTTCCTCGCTATGCACCCAGGAGGAGAGCGTTCTGACATAGTCGACATCGACAGCCGCTTACCATAGAGAAGCGCAGCGAAAGAAACCCGCGTCAGGGAAACCATTCCGATCGTCGAATCGAGATGTCGAGGAACGAAAGTCGAGCTCCTTCATCTGATCGTACGGCAACGCGAACGAGACTGCATAATCGTCGCGACGCTCGCAAACAGACGTATAAACGGACGCCTCGCCTCGTCTGGCCTCGTCGTCCCTTTAACTCGTCACGCGGAACGATCGAGCGCTTTCTGTCGCATCTTCCCGACTGTCGCGCACGACCGCGCACGACGCGCCTCGGCACCCTCGACTTCGTCGCACCCATCGTTAATTCCGCTACTGGCCAGCCATCCCCCTCTCATACTTGCATCTCTCTCGCACTTTCCGTCTATAAATGGGATGAACGGAATGAGCGTATACTCGAACCTTAGAAAAAAAGAAGAAATATAAAATATCGAATAGATGCAAAGTGTCACGATGCAAACTAATCGGTCTTTAAAATTTGGAAGAAAATTGGACTTCTATTCCCTCCAATTTCAGCCTCACACACATATATAAATATATAAATGATATAAATTTTATATCATTTAGTGTGATGTACGTGCGTGCGTGCGTGCGTGCGTGTGTGTGTGAGGCTGAAATTGGAGGGAATAAAAGTCAATTTTCTTCCAAATGATTGTTATAAAAATTATATAAAATAACAATACGTTCTTTTATTGTATGTATAATTTTATTAATAAAAATCTTCGGATACACATATATCATTGGTATAAAACATTCACATGATCGAAACAAAAAAATATATATGTATATATAATGTATAGAGAAGGAATATATAGAAGCAATGTAATATATTCCTTTGCGGTATAGAGTTTAGCTATCTTTATATTCTACAAGTGTAACAAGTATTTTGTACAATTTTAACGAAATTAGCGACAATTCTTAACTAAGTGATTTATCATTAGATCTCTGCCAGATGCGTCGCACACTTTTCATATAATGTACAAAAAATGAATGGAACCGATCTGACTACGTCAACAATATAATATTTATAATTAGGACCCAATGGCGATTCTTCTCGTCTCTCGTCGTCTATCGACGATCCGTCTTTAGGTCTATCGTTTCTTTGCATTCATTTCTGATCCTTTGATTCTTTCGAGGCCTAATCGCACAGACCACGCGATAATAATTCGCATAGATCTAGTGAGAATAATCACAATATCGCCAAACGTAACGCAAACGTATGGCACTCTTATTCCATACTTAATATTCTTTTTCCATACATATATATATGTCATGAATATGTTACAATAAAAAGTGGCTCGGCCTAACTGGCTGCGATCGAAAAGCGTTGTTTGAGCGAAATTGACTAATGATCCGATAACGATTTAACAATTTTCCCATTTTGTATCGATGGGATTAACACGTATCGGAATCTTGCCGCCACTTTTGTACCGCCTCTCGACGTGCATCGGGTACTAACGATGATCGCATGCCACC